TCTTTATTATATTTATCTTGATTTATTCTTTTATTTTATTATTTTATTTATTCTTCTATTTTTAATTTATCGTTCTATTTTTCAATTTAATCTTTTATTTATTATTTTATTCTTTGATTTATTTTTTGTTTTATTATTTTATTTATTCTTCTATTTTTAATTTATCGTTCTATTCTTGAATTTAGTCTTTTATTTCTTGTTCTATTCTTCAATTTATTCTTTTATTTATTGTTTTATTTTTTGATTTAGTCTTTTATTTATTTATCTATTCTTTTATTTATTCTTTTATTTATTTATCTATTCTTTTATTTATTCTTTTATTTATTGGTGTTTTTCAATTTTGGCCCTAATGGCACACCATATATGTCCCTGTAAAACACTCAGTGTTTTATTTTGAAAAAAAGTGTATTTTGTGTGTTAAACATGTTCATAATTTTCACCAAAAAATGATTTAATAACTCCCAAATACACTTTTCTAAAAATAATATAATACACATGTGTTTTTAATTAAAACAAGATATTTCCATGAAAGACATCGAAGTGCTCCAAAGATGCAGAGTGTAAGGATTAGAGCACGGAACAAAACATTACCACGACAACGCCACGTTATTTTCGTTATTAATAAACGAGCATGATTCTTCAAGAATCAATGAAATATTCTGAAATTTGCTAAATTTATTCATTATTTTTGAATTTTAGAATTTTAGATATCAGTTAAATTTAAATTTAATGCTGCACATTATATAATTAAATGTCAACACATTTGTTCGACAACTTGACTGCTACTGTAACTAGTGTCAATTGCACCTACTATCGGCTTGCCTTGCACACGTGTGTGAATACTTAGCGCTAAATATTGACGTATAGACATAGTGTTGTATTATGACTTGGAGATTAAGTTGCCTTCGCTGTTAATATCGCTAACGAGATCGGCTATGAATGGCGAACACAGGTGTACGTATGGCCAACTAGTGATCGTTTGGCAGCTCTATCAATCAGTGATTTCTGACCATAGGCGATAAAATAACCTTTCAAGATTAGCTCAAGTGAGGAATTAATAAGGTTAGAAAAACACGTACTGAATACTGAAAACAAAACTAATTTAAAACAGAGCTATCCAAATCGGTGAAGAATTGTTTGTATATTGCTTAATCGTGAACGTTGCTGAATTTTCTATGCGTTTTGTTTGTCGAATCAATTCTGTGGACGCATGGAGAATTTCCCATCAGGAGTTGTTAATTGGAATACATTCAGTATAGAATGTGTTTACAAAGTTCGCATGCGCCATTCCCTGTAACTATTCCACAGTATACAATTGAAGGCGATATAGAAGTCGTATAATTGTCTACACAGTATTAAAAAGCTATTAGTAATTATAGTATTATACGAATATATCGGGTAAACTATTATAAATGTCTTGCAAATTGCATCACTTATCCGCCGTGTCCTTGTTGCGACCATGCTTACTTAAAGTTAGATTTGTTCTTCAAACAGAGTGTATACTAAATGATTTCGCCGCTGCCAGATGGAGTAGTTGTTTTAATCGTTGAGTGAATAAACTTATTCAAGACTCAATTTTGGAGTTTCCTTTCAGAAAAAGAAATTAGAACCTTGTGTAGGTATTATAAATGTATACATTATGGTAGAGATAATCGCGAGGATTTGCGCTCGTAGAATCCCTCCTAATATGTAAGTATTTAATATAGCTAAGGGTCATAAACACGGGTTATATTGCTGCACGCAAAAAATAAAGCAATTTGATTCTTATCTATCATAGTCTATCTAATGCATCAACATGGATTGTTCTATTTATTGAATATTCTTCTGTGTGTTACAAGAATAGCGCTTTAAGTTTATAATAAATCATAGTCCAAATCATCTAACAATATGAAGTTTCGAACAACAAAATTAAAAATTACATGATGTATCGTCCATATTAGATAATCGAAAGAAATAACAAGTCATGTAAATCGATGCTTTACTGCCATCTAAAACCGTTTTGTTGAGCGCAAGTACATTTTGTGCTAGAATTAGTAATAGTAATTAGTATTGCTAATTACTTCCGAGTTGAAATGTCCTATGCACACTCTATGCTGTGCAATACATTCGTTGATACTAATACCATACAAACCCAGTAAGAATGCAAACAGTTCAAAAGGTCTACAAATTGTTAAATAGTTTGTGAAGTGAAAGTTTACATCAAATATACGACGAAGAACAAATGTTTCCATGGAAACTACGACTTTATGATTTCTCGAAAGCCTTACTCAGGTGACCATTTTGAGTTTTCAGTCAAATTGTGTTAGGAAACTCGATGAGCAAATGATCGTGTCTAGAATCGACTTAAATTCAAATATGGCGCCGTGGATAATTGTTATTTCTCCTCGTGATATATCATCATTAAGTAAAATAATAATCCGGAGTTGTACCGCAAATTTAGTATTTTACAAACAAAAACCTTGAATAGTGAGTAGCGTTCGAACTTCTGACAGAACTGGAACATTACATTCACACATAACTCAATACGAATGACGAAACACGCTAGTACGTCACATATCATAGAGTCGAGTCAACAACAAATGTAAATCTGTCATACCTGAGCCAAGCCAATAAATGCATTCCCCTTTTCAGGTATTTTGTCATCGTCCACCCTTTGCTTGCCAAGTCTATGATTACTCCAGGTAGAGCTCGCAAGATAATATTAACCGTATGGATCTTTGCACTTGTCTATAGTTTCCCGCCGCTTTATTATAAGGTGAGTGTGTACGTTTAATATAGTTGTGAAACGTTACATCGTTACTGGCTATGATAACATCAATATTCACCAGAGTGTAATATACAGGCAAGTGTTCGAATAAAATGGTGAATACAGCGCAGCGCAAAGTTCTACACAGTCAATGGACGTGTACGCTCGTGTCGCTCAAGGAGTTGTGATGCGCAGACGACATACTGAGTCGTTTGAAATATTAACACATTCTTGATGTTGGGCGCTTTATTTTACGAGGCCTTTATAATGTTAGACACTCTCTACAAATCATTTATCACATATAACTAAGCATGATTGATCGACTGATTGCGAATTCATCGTAACATTTAGGCCGTTTTGCCACCAATTTACCATAATAGAGCGAAATGGCGCACAACTAACGTACTGTACGCTACCACGTCACGCAATTTCCATGTATGGGTATTAATGAAGCAGTTGTATTGTACCATTAATAGCGGGAATATGACTGCAATTAAACCCTTAGACCCGGACATGGTTCCAAAGAGACAGCTCATAATGAGCAAATTTCGTCCACTCCGTCACGATGACCTAAATGATTTTAGCACATTGTATTGTTTATCTGACGATCTGTAAAAAATAAGCAAAACAAATAATTTTATTTTTTTATTTACAAGATAAGTATATACCTATAAAGCAATTAGTGTTAATCGAAGTCAACTTATTTTATTTATTCATTCAGTTACAACTAGCATATATTCATGATATAAAGATAACAATATTATAGTCCTATTATTGACATGAAAGTTGATTACTGGCGTTCACCTTTTCAAAATGTATATTGAACTATAATGAATACATTCCAGGAAACCGATATTTTCGCATCTAGCTGAGTACTAGCATCATTCGCATCACGCGATTGAATTATTGGGCATTTTTATTTGAACAATATCGTTTAATTCGAGTGAGTTTTAATATGCCGCTTGGTCCTCTAGAATCCTTTTTCTTGAAAGTGCGATTCCGAAAAACAGAAGAGAACAAAATACCGATGTTATTTTTTTTAACATTTAGAACTATTTAAGTTGAGAACCCATCCAATTGCGTTGACTTGAACGTTTCGTTTTGGCCATGACAATTACATTAATTTTAACTCTAGCCTTGTTCGGGATGTGCGTTTCGCTTGAGTATCACTAGCCAATTCATACTTAAACCGTATATATATATATATATATATATACACAAAATTACCAATTTATTTACCAATTTATTGCTATACTGGCGAATGCCTATCACGTTGTGTTGAATGCCTATCATGTCGTGTTGAATGCCTATCATGTAATAGCGAATGCCTATCATGTCGTGATGAATGCCTGTCATGTAATGGCAAATGCCTATCATGTCGTGTTGAATGCCTGCCATGTAATGGCAAATGCCTATCGCGTTGTGGTGAATGCATATCATGTAATGACAAATGCCTATCATGTCGTGATGAATGCCTATCATGTAATGGTCAGTTGAACGGTGAATGCCTATCACGTTGTGGTGAATGCCTATCATGTAATGGCGAATGCCTATCACTTATGGCGAATGCTTATCACGTTGTGGGGAATGCCTATCATGTAATGGCGAATGCCTATCATGTCGTGTTAATTCCTATCACGACAATGAGTAGGATGAGACTGTCACGGGACTGCCATGGCTTACCATAAATAATATATTGATAAAAAGAGAAAGATGTGTGTTCAAGTTACGGTTTATTACTTAACTTTCATTGATAGTTGCCGTATTTGCAAACACAAGAATGGTTTGAGTGAATCAGTCGTACTTATTAGTTATTTGTTTCTTGCAGAGACTTATAACGCACGATTTTCCTAATTACACAAAATACTACACCTGCAATACCTATTGGCCAAACGGCGATCTCGGAAAGGCGTTCTCGGTCTACCTACTCCTCGGGATCTACCTCATTCCCTTGTTTATAATGATATTCTGTTATTCTCGGATTATCTACGAGTTGTGGATCAGCGCCAAGCGATGTCACCAGATGCAACAGAGGCCGACAGGTGCGAGGCGTGTTTATCGAGCAAGTCCTGCCTTGAGCGAGCGTGGGAACGAAAAAATCTACACTGAGAGCGGCATTACCATTAGCCGTTCTAGCGAGGTGATCTTCGATGAGCAAGAAGAGATGTCAAAACGACGTAGGACTAGGATTGACGTTGACCATGGACGAAAACAGGTACGAATAGCATTGTAATATTACACGATGTAGCAAGATGTGGCTCACAGGGAGAATCTAGATCGTCGTTACCAGAGGAACATTGCATGCTACTTAATTGTCATTGTTGTAATCACTCAAGTTCACTTTTATTTTTAGACGATTCTCTGAATACGATTTCAGGATTTTGTTGGCTAATATATCTAAATATATACAAAATCCAAAATCTTTTACGACACATACAATGGGTTTCTCTAGATAATACAGCGCGTTACATATTTCCTGTACCGCGTTGTATGGGTTGCATGAAACCCGCAGTGCATGCTTTGTGATTGGCGGCTAGCTGTTTACGATTTGTTTATTACTTGCCACTAAATTACATCTGAATCGTTAAGCATTCTTATTTATCTTCAAATGTTAGTCGGGTGGATAAAAAAAAACTTGACGGATGTATAACTACACATCTTACATAAACACATAAAAAAGTAAAAAAGTGTTCATAAACAATATTTACGTACGTGGAATCTACTTTTCGGCATGGCTCCCTAGGGGAGGAGTTTGAGTGGAACGACTATTTATATACCCCAACCCGTGAACAGTGTCGTGGACCATCTATTAGCTGTTCTCGTTTTTCAAAATATATATGGGTTCGTATATTAGGGAGGTGCAGACATATACTTGTCAGTATGATTAATGGCTGGCTAATGACCGACCATGTTCATAATGTGGGTCACATTAGAGTAACATGAATAAGAAGGCATGGATAAACAGGACAATCCTTTATTAATGGTAATATATAAAAGGGGTCATGTGGTTAAGTACAAAGATAAGTAAAACAAAGTTGTACATTTTATAGAATGCTTTTAATTTTAATTCATAGGTCATCGTCATGCTGCTACTTGTGGTGGCGCTGTTCATGATATGCTGGGGTCCGCTCATCTGGTTTGTGTTTCTGATAGAGTTCGGGTTCTTTCCGCGGCTCCACCTCACGAGAACGTACCTAGGTATCGCGTTCAATCTCCTCTCTTACCTGAATAGCTGTATGAATCCCATTTGCTACGCCTTCATATCGCGGACTTTCAGACAGTGTTTTAAATGGGCGTGCACGGCTAGTTGCGTTAGCAGCATCAACGACCCCACGCGTCGACGCGGTCCAGCGCGCAATGGGACCATCACTACGAAGAGCACAGCGACCTCTCTGTATCGACCGGTGTCTTTGGGACGTTTGCGGAACTCTGACGTCATAGCGACCCCCGAGGCGAGTCCAGCTCTCAGAAGGTCAACTCCTAGATCTAGTCCATTGTTAGTAGGATCTCGATCACCAGCAAGGGATCGGAATTATATTCGAAAATCGCCGTGTAGCAGTCCGATGACGGTGCGTTATTCTACCAGGCTCGGTGACAGGTGTCACGATACAGCAACAGTTGTGTGGAACAATAAATGCAAAGCTAGCCCTACCGCGTTAACCAGTGAAAGTCACGTCTGATGTACATTTAAATTACACGTTTTCTGTGAGTTGACTGATATTTCAAGACATGTACTCACTTTGCAACTGCATTTTAATAGTTAGCGATTCTCGATATAGATTTAATTTCAACTATATGTATAAGAAACCCCAAGATGTTTTGTTATTGTGGATCAAGCAATTATCGCCATAGGTAGTCACATTCAATCGTGACGTAACCGTATCCTGTCGTCATACCTGTTTATACGTATAATTTGGTATTTTATCACGGATCACTAAAGAAATAGTGACGTTTTCTTGACCTTATATGCACTAAGAAGTCACTGATTGAAATAAATGCAGTGAACAAAAGATCTCCGTCAAATAGTCTACTGGACGTGGGTTTCTGTATCACGTGTACGATTACACCATAATTATCCTCCATTTTGTCGTCCTCGTTCGCAGTGACAATTATAAAACTACCAAGATAATCCTCCAAGCAACCATTTGATGCAATACTAAATATTTGCAAGTAAACCTTCGATTTATAGTACCGTGAACTCTTGGAAATGTGTAGTCTCTTTGTATAAATGTGGGTAACCATGTGCCGCTGGCGGTGCGCGTCATTTACGATCCTTGCTGACCTAATCGAATAACTTATCACGTGTACTTGAGCACCGCAAATCGTCGAATCAGCGATGAATGGTAACCCATTGATCTGTACTACATATATAACATCACTGAAACTCAAATTACGAGAATGTCACATTTGATTACTAGTAACTAATTTCCCTCCGGGCTTCCCATAATGCATCGCTACAGATAAAATCAGCTCGTGCCAGCTTAGAGATAATAATTATAAAATCCGCCGTTGAAATGTGAGCATTTTCGAATAGTGACGTCAATGCCAGTAAATTTTGTTTACGGGATAATACTCTAGCCTGAAACGTTGAAAATGATCTACTAAGAACAGATCTAGACTGAAACCGTATAAAAAGACTTTCAATCAAACCTCAGAACGACTTGTGATTGGACGCTTTGAACATGAAATGACAAGTTGGCGCTGTGTACTTGTTCTTCTAATAATAAGTCTAATTAATTAATACGTATTTAAATGGCCACGTAACAGTCAAATTCACTGAGTAGGAATGACAATGGAATTCGAAGCAACAAATATATTCAAATGACGTGCAAATGCGATTATACGGCGATATTGTAAAGTCGTTTTGTACCTCGTAACGTCGACGCAACGCGCTGTGTTCGACAAGGGTCACACGCAACGTGTACAACATACACCGGTTTGTTTACACGAAATTCGAATGTGCCGATTTAAAACATGTCAGGACGATATAATTCAAAGGGTATTTGATTTAGTAGTTTTGAATTTGATGTACATTACCACTGTATTTGAGCAACACGTCCGGCGGTCGCCTTATTTGGGTGACATATAAACGCAACTGACGCTGCTTGTGTAACGTGTAATTGAATCTTTCATCAAAGCACTAAAGTAATAAATTTTGTGTAAATAATCTGTTGTACGCGTCACATGGGACCCATGTCGACTGTGACGCTTTAACGACGCTGTTGTCCATTCATAACTTTAGGGCGTCGGACTTTTATCGTTTTACGGCGACCATGTTTGCGAGACACCCTCTTGCAATTTACGACGATTTTATTAGAAATTCCCATTCGTAATTTTTATGATAGACACATCGGATTTTTCTAGTTTTACGGCGACTTTTTTTAGGGTGAGTCGTACCCAACTGATCTTTATAATTAGTAACCGTGATGACAGCGACACTACCTCTACATACGTATTTGTATCTTGGGTATGCTAATTAGTTCATTATACATTCAAATGTTTTGCAGATTTCACCTACACAGGTTTCCCATTGTAACTAAAGTGAACAAAAAAATGTTATTAAATTATTTTCAAACATACAATCGTCAGATGAGTTTATACATATTGCAACAACTTTTTTAAGAACGTTGTCGAGTCGGGCGCATGCGCAATGTCAACCACACTGTCGGCGCTTTCATAGAATGACATTTGAATGATCGCATTAGCATTACTGAAGCAGAGATCATACACACCGTGACGCGCTACGCAGGTGTGATTCATTAATCTTGCATATATATTATTTATTGTTCATATGGTACATAGCATTGACACACATGCTTTAGGGATGTTGGTGAATTTACGTAAATAATTAACAGTTGGGCGCACATAGCAGATGATTTGAGTAATATCTTGAGAATCGTTTCGATCGATTAAAATTAGGCTCGATATGCAAAGTCAAATGAATGTGTTATTGCACTAACTAATTTCTAAACCCTGAACCCATACATTTTGCATCTCATTAATGGTTATACGCACTAAATAAATTACCCTGAGCAACAATTATATCAGCCACTCGCTAAACAACAAGATTCTCTATTATTAGACCAGAATAAATGGCACAGAATAGGAGACAACACAATAGCCATCACGGGAGCTATCACTTTAATGCGTTTAAAAAAAAAACATAGCATAAGAATAACACATACACTATATTGGAGAATCCCACTTATCAGATATTGAATTATTAAAATCAAAAAAACTCCAAAAAACATAAAGTCATATAGTTGACAGAACGTACCTCTTCCAATGATAATTGTCTAACCTTATTTGAGCCGAACACCTTAATCGTATAATGCTCCGACAGATTATAACACAAACGTTACTTGTATCCAATCATATATACACATATATTTTACTCTCTTGTACAGTTGAAAAAGAGATCCAGTTAAGAACAGAGATCCAAAATTATCAAACAAATAGGAAAGTACTTACAAATCGGCAAAATGTGACACTTTCAGTTCATTTTAGTGGAATGATTTGGATAATATAAGGAATTATCCATGATAAAAGAAAGTTAACGACTAATTTAGAATCTCAAATTTGTTATCTCATTTTGTGGTGTGTTTTTCTGCAAATATGTAAATTATACAGTCAATGTGCATGCTCATGTATTCTCACCATGTGTTTATATCCACCCTGAGCGTCTATATACAAAGCCCCAGAATGTTTTCAAGACTTTACATGACACCGAGTAACAACAGCCTGTAGCATAGAATCGGATAATTGCCGCTTTTCATCTATATTTGAATTTGTTTCCAATACGTTTGATTATTCTCAATGTATTCCTATTCTGTCTAGAAACCAAATAAAGCTGTTTTTTCCTTTTACTTGCACTCGTTAAATCAGTAGCTAAATTGATTGTGACTCGTATATAGGGCGTTTTTTTAAAAAAAAAAAGTACGCAAACGATTCAACCGATATTGGCCGCAGGAATTAGGTCTGGATATTTTGACAACAATGTTTTGGCAAAAAATAATAATAGATCGGCAAATGCTGTATTACTATATACACTCGAATACATTTCTTAGTAGAATACGAAAGATGGTTTCATTACGAAATAATGAAAATATTGCGCAGATTTACATATCTTGTAAATGATCGTTATGACCGTCAAACAGCATAGTTTACAAGTTCATAAAACGTCAAAAAAAAAAGAAAAAAAATCTTTATTAAAATGTAGCCAATCTGATTAAAATCTGATGTAGGTATGAGACTCCAATTTTTTTTATTTATTTTATTATTATTATTA